AAAGTGTCTCAAAGATTCGTCACAGAGCTTATGACATAAGATATTGAGTCGCAAGAAATTTGAAATTTTTCTTTCTGGCCTCTGATGGAAAAACATTGGAAAATAAAAGGTATTACTGCTGTTCTGGACTGCACAGGGAGCCAACTCAGAGACACTCACATTGAAGATTATGTGGTAGCATTTTAAACCAACCAGAGTGTCTTTAGCAATGTGTTAATTATAATCCAGTCACAAACTAAAACACTAGTTTATTGCAAAAAAAAACACAGTCTCTTAAGTTTATATTTGTCAAAGAACATTTCCAAATCAAAGATATGTTCTTTAATGTATAATGTATTTGGCCTTGCTGGGGACAAATATGTTAAGGCTATCTTTATTTTTACAAGGTTATGTTATTGCTTCCAACATTCTTGAAGATACAGCATGTGTGTGCATGTAGAGTTCACATCTGCACGTACAATGTGTCTACATGCTTCAGGAACACGTCTCATTCTCATTTAAAAGACCGTGAGAGGTAATTTATCAGAGCTGGGGGAGAAACGTAAACTTAATGACATCTGAGGATGAATTAGCAGGAGTGCTAACGTGGGTTACTGATAACACCATTCAGAGCAGTGAGTGTGATTAAGGTTAACAGGTTAGCTGATGTGCGAGAAGCAACAAAACATCGGGTACATGCATTAGCCTTCATATACACTTCCCCTTGACAATGTGGAAGATATTTTGCAACTGCAGCAGTGAGACTGGGTTGTTTGGTGCTGAAGTGTTGTCTCATCCCTCTTTCCTCTTGATAAACAAAGACTGAGTTCAGACAAAGACATGCCTTTGATTTGAGGAGTGTGAGAAACAACACGCACTACACCATAACCTATAATTTCCTCAGAGAGACATTGAACGAGGTTACAGATACACCCATCGTCTGACTCATAGTCTTAGTTGATGGATGTGCATGTACATCTTTTTCTAGTTTATGTCTTCCTATGTATCTGTTCTTTACCTTCACCAAAGAGGCTATAATTGTATCTGTGTTTGCGTGTCTGTCTGTTATATTAACAGTATTAGCGTGCATGTTGTGTATTAGAGCATGTCTGTGCATGGTTCATAGTATTTACACACAGGTGTCAGGATGAACATGTGAACTTAAAACAGTCACACACACAAAGGGAGAAATTTCGTATTAACTGATCAAATGCACAGCGCTGCATTTTCCCTTCAGTGCTTTAAACTCCCTTTTCACGTATCCACCATCGAGTCTTAGTTTTACTGCCAAACAAAATGTCTCTTACCCTCACAAACACACACCTGTAGATTATGTGATGGTTACCATGATGATGGACAAGAATACACAAGGCCAGATGGTGTAACCCATTCCTCCTCTTCACCATCTGTGACTGCAGAGCCTGGGTTTCCCATTACTTACCCTGTAACTCAGAAATATGTCCTGCGAGCTCAATCACAGGAAGCCAAAATGGTGGCCACATAGCAGTTCTAAGACCGACCGAGATTGAATGACACATCGTGGTCTTTTGTATTCGTCGGAGAGAAAATGTATTTACCACGCTTTGGTGCTCTGGACACTCATGTGAGACGTTCACACACTTAGGGTCTCACCTGAGGGTCTGCAGCACTCAGTAGGAGAGATGTTAGCCAATGGAGCGTAACTGAATATATACAGACGTCTTTCCACTTACAGCAACTGCAGACATATGTTAGAAGTCGTTGCGTTAAGTATGAATTCCTATGTGCTAAGGTGAGCACAGTGGGTTTATACCATAATGTTCACACTCAGCAGACGCAGCTAAGCCAACCATAACACACCTGGCCTCTCGGTCAGAGCAGGTCTCCATCTCCGCCGCCGCAGCCTGCCTCTCTCTTTGTTTATCTGTGGTAATCAGCGACTCTCTCTGTGTGCTGTCCCACACAATGCAACATGAGCTGCCTGAAAGGGTGAATTTCAGAAATAGGATCATGTGTCTTGGTGAGATTTTATATAAAAATCCATGTGATGAACTATAATCACAGATCTATAGCAAGGACACAAGTACTGCTACCTGCATTCAAATTCTGATTGATGTCTCTCCATTTGTGTGTGTGTGTGTGTGTGTGTGTGTGCCAGGGGGACAATCTTCAGTCAACATATGATAGCCACCTGTGTAAACGGTTGGAGTATCTTGTGGCTCTGAAACACTGGATCCTCAGAGCACCGCTTCTGTTGCCGCGAGAGACCAGAGGCCTGACCTCTCTTTAGTAGAGGGAAACCCTGCAGGCAGTCAAAGGTGGATACACACACTAACATACACACACTCATGCATATCTACACATACAGCATAGTTTGTCTTAAAGTCTGTAGCACCTTTTCCTCCTTCCGTCTTTTACACAGTAACACAGTGCAGTTGAATGCATTCAGTTCCACATACTTGCATGGACATAAACAGTGTGTATGTGTGTTGTGGGGTAGGAGGAGTGTGCAGGTCAAGCAGGAAGGAGACAGAGGCTCCTGCCGAACAGGGTGGATATTGACACAGCATTAACATGAATGAAAATATTTTTTGTGTTCAGAGAGCATGGAAGATAATGCTTCCAGACGTTTGGACAAGACCTATTCAAACAAACACTGGACATCAGCACTCAATCAAACGGTCTTTTCACACATGCGGCCTTCCTGAAGCTGCTAAAGGAGGGAGTCATTTAGGATTATATGACAGGCCATGTGACCAGGAATGTTGACACAAAATCCAAGCATGATATTGTGCTAGTTTCTCCGCAGTGCTCTTCGGGCTGAATATAAATTCTAGGAATCGGTGGAATACCAGGAACACACGTTAGATGGTAGAATTTAAATGAAGAGGCAAAAAAAGTGGGTGGACGGCTGCTGAAGTTACCGTGTGAAGAAGTGCTGCATGGGAGGGGCCTTGGCACGAGCCAGAGCACAAAGGGAATCATACTAATGGAGACATCAGGACCTGAGGGTGTAGAACAAATCAGGAGAAGGGGAGGGCAGCGGTGACAGAGGTTGGGAAGGGAGGAGTGGAGAGTTGAGTTGTTCCTCTTAATGTTTGTGGTCTGAGACATATTTCTGACTGATTACTGCCATTAAAGCGGGTGAAGGAAGTGGAGATGATGTCGGTCACAGCGGAGCCAGCGTGAGTGAGTGGATGCTGCGTTCACAGGCCCCAGTGCATTAGCCTCTTTTTAAACAACTATTAATCTGAGGTGGTGGATTAAGAAAATCTTCTAGCATCCGTTCCCACATGAAGGCCAAGGTTCAGGCTGATGGAAAAGTGTGTCACCGTCAAACAAGATAGTGTCAGCGCCCAGGAAGCTGACAGTTGTTTTACCCTCAACAACAGATGAGGGTCTATAATTGCACCGTGGCGCTGGGATAACACACATAGTGTATGTTACGAGACCTCTGCACACACAAAGTCCTTCTGTTCTGGTGGGGAACAGGTGCAACGTGGGAGTTGGAGTCATCAGATCCCGGGTGGTGCAGGGGGACAGGGGGGTGCAGCTGCTACAGCTTAATGCAAACACTTTCCAATTCTGTATATATCTTAATTTATAGGCTTGACATTTGTTGATGGATATATATTTAGATTGATATTCGCACTATGCATGTCCCTTTCACTTTTTTTAGTCCCACCTTTATTTGTTCATCCTTTTTTATTCTGTTTGGTTTGTGTGCTTCCCCTTGAATGAGTTTATGTTGGCTTTTTTTTTCATTTTAGCTGTTGATCAAAATATAGGACTAATATTTAACATTCTTCTCAATCCCTGATTTACAAATTAAAAAATACATATATATTCCATTGTACTGACACAAATTTGAGAACAATAAAAATAAAAATGTATGGAATTCTCTCCATATGACATAATGTTAGTATCACCACACAGCCATTAGAAAGAGACTGAGACAGAGAAACAGATGTATTTCAAAGAGATGTGCTTCAGTAACTGGACGCCTGTGGGACTTCCCTGAGGGACACGTGCAAATTCAATACTGAATCCTGAAATTTTATTCTAATGTGTGCATGTGAATATGTGTTTGTTTCTCACATAGACATGAGACAGAACAAAAGATTTGCAAGGACATGACACAAGACTGTGTGTCAATGAGTTCAACATGTCACCTAATATAATACCTGAATAAGTGTGCTAATGCTAATGCAGGTACATATACTAACTCATTACTCAGACAGAAAAGAAAGGTGAAAAAAGAGAGCCCATGCACGAACCTGCAAAGGATGAATTGCTGGATAAGGACAGGTCACTATCTATAAACAGAAGAAATTATATGGGCAGAGAATATCATCATGAAAGAAACCTTGTGTGAAAATCCATGGTAACAGTGATAATGACTATATCCACATGGAAACACACAAAAACTGGACAATGGCCGAAAAATGAAGGAAATGGAAGAGTTAGGAGGCTGATAACCTTCGCTGAGGTCCACGTTAATGCAGCAGAGGTACGAGCACAGAGAAGAAAAAAAAAAGGAGGAGGTGAAGGAGGAGGGTGAGGGGAGAAGTGAGGGGGTGGTCTGTAGAGTGACAGGAGCGGCAGTATTTCTTTCGAGAGCTGGGGTGAGTCTCACGGAGTCTGTCTGAGAGACGTAGCACTCTAATCTAGCTGCCTGGGAGGAAGGAGCGGGCAATTTTCAGCAAGCTCATACAAACTCCCCACACCAACCAAAATCTCACACACAGGCGTTTCCTCACACACACACACACACACACACACACACACATACACTGTGGCAGTTGGCCTCTACCCAGATCAGTAGCTGTGGTAGAAACCATCTTTCTGACTCACTGAGGTCCGAGCTGAGGTTGAGGTCCTCCCTGACTGTTGGAGCGTGAGCAGAGTTTGGGAGCCTGAGCTTCACTTTCTTCCTCAGAGCAGAGAGACCGCACGCCAGGCACGAGGCTGCCCCGCTCCTCCCCTCTCCCACTCCTCCTGCCTTCTCCTGGGCTCCTGTCCAGCGGGTGACTGTTTCCAGTGGACACAAGAGGAGGAAGGCAGCCTGAAGATAAAGCAGCTCCAGTCCTGCCTGCCTGCCTGTGATAACCAAACCAGGATTTTGCACATCAGCTGCTTTAACGTCTTTGCTGGATTCATTTTAATTTGTAATTTATATTTTATTACGTCTGAGCTCAGGCATACAGACAGACAATCAGACAGACGGACTGACATATGGACAGAGAGCAGTGGGCACTGCGGCGTGAATGTAGCAACTGGACTTCTCTTCTCCCTGGTAACTGAGACCAAGCAAGGATAGTAGCCAGAGCAGTAGCCTGTCCGCTGAGGTGGTGGGTGGAGGCAGCTCTCAGCAGATTGCTATAGGGGAAGGCAGAGGCTGTATAGAAGCTGCAGAGACACGTCTATAGTTGATCCACACTGTTGTGATCATCAGAAAATGGATTGTTGCCTCCAAGTAGACTCTTGAGACTCTCTCTCTCATCAAAGAACTCACAAAGACCTGTGGACTTTCCTCTCAAAGACTTTGTGCCTCATGCTGAGTGGACCTACATGTTTTCTCTGTAGATGAGCGTGGAGTGTGTGTATCACTAATGATGGAAGAGTGGGTAAGGACCGAGTATCTGACACTGATGCTGCTGTGCGTCGTTCTGACGGGCAGGGCTCACACAGCCCACAGCATCTACCCAAGGATACGGCTCTCCCACCGCGGTAAGAACATGTTTTTTTAATCACCTTTAATCCACTTTGGCAACAGATGTGTTGCACAAACTCAAATGCTCTAGTATGTTTCACCAGGCGAAGCAGCCTTCAGGTGGTGCAGCGCGGTCTGTTAAGCTGACTGGAATCATCAGTGCAGCCTCAGTCAAAACAGTCTGTTGGGTGTCTTCAGTGCAGATTGAGAATAACAGGGGTTTAACAGTGCAGAGTGAAATCCACAGTAATGAAAAATGTGCAATGTGTAAATTTAGTGAAGTTAGGGCAGAAGCATCCTCTATGAGTGAGTAAAATAAAGTTGTATGCTCTCATCACCATGTAATAAGATAAAAACAAAAAAGTCACCATCCAGGGTTGAATTCATGAGGCACGACTTCTGCTTGTCAGGTGCGTTCTCTTTTTTTACTGGCTGTTGATGTCCAGAGAGCATCCTCGTAGTTTGTTTTGGTCCCTCGGCTACAGTGGCTGAGATTTCACAATGTAGCTTACTGTCAGGCCATAGCGGTGGAATGATGGAGGCTAAAAAAGGTCTGTGAGAGAAGATAAAAATATGCCTGTTTACATGTGTGGGAGTGTGTGATATGGATGGCAATGGTATGCTGTGTATCTCTCGGACAATAATGAGGGTTTTATCTTTCGAGATAAAACTCATGCTGCTGCTTTTTATCCTCACGCAGTTTCTTTGGCCCTTGCAGCAGCGATTCCATCTAAGCCTGTTAGTCATGGTTGAATATAGGTGTGGAATTTGGATGGTCAATAACTCATAAATCGCTGTGAGTCTGTTATGAGAGCTGACAGGACCGGTTCATCAGTTGCATAAGCAAGGGAGGTTTGCTGTTTTAATGAATGTCCCATTTCTGCCAGTCAAATTCGTCAGTCAGCCAAAAATGTGCCTACAGTGAAAAGTAATGGGAAGTGGAAAAAACTGAAATTGAATGTTGAACTCAGGGAAAATAAGACAACAAAGAGAACAGGGTCTACAAATGAAATCAAACCTCATACATCAGCATAAATGAGCAGGTCAGCATTGATGTGCTTCATCATAATATGCCACACACATATCTGTTGTGATCTTAACTTCCACACATCACGCATTTCAGTTAGAGCCTGAGGGTGAAGCTGTTGCCGTGATTGACTTCCCATGTCTCCCTCACTCTCTCTCTCTCTTCTCTGATACATGTTATGGCTAGCACACAGCACTGTGAAATGACTGCATTTGGATCCTATCATTATGGAATGAAAACCATCTAAACCCTAATACAAGCCTCATGGGCCCTGCCAGGGATTTTTGCACACACCCTTAAATTCACACATGCTCATGCATACAGTACGCACACACACACACACATATGCACAGGTGGAATCGTGTGAATTCTTCACAAGCCGATGACTTGGATGAAGTCCAGGGAGATGGAGTGGAGTGGGATGTGGTTTCTACTATTCACCCTTAGGACTACAAGAATATTACCATAACATCTGCTATCAAAACAGGGTGGAAAAACTGGATTCTCCATTCTGAGTGAGAGACTGATATTGCGAGGCTGAGAATAATATCAGTCCTGATGTATTTTAAACCGCCTCTGCTCAGATGGGAAGATTCCAAGTGTGTGATCAATAAAAGTCTCAAAAAAAGAAGAAAAAAGTCAGATCACCTTTCTCCTGGTTTCTGGGAATGAATTCCTCTGGGCACATCATCATGTGTTCGATGGAGTGCAGTTTAGATCACTGCAGGCTTTGATGTGAGCACGTGGTGTTAAATTATCATTCATTCTGTCTTTCATCTATTCTCTATCTTCTTGTCTAGACTTCCTGACCACTAAAGATTTTTTACTAATTGGATTCACTTTCATCCCAGTCATCCTCTCATTTTCTTACACCCTCAATTACCTTACCTTTTTTTTTTGCTTAAATCACATGGAGTATTGAGTTACGATCACAGACTCAACCATCTCTAGAGAGAAATGACGCTAATCTTTGCCTGAACAGCTTCCAACAACACAAAGCCTATGCACAGCTCATAATACACCTCAATTTCTTGGGTTTCAATCAACACTCCCTAAATCCTTGATTGTTATAAGCAGAAGTGTCCTGCAGGGAGATGTTTTCACCATAGAAATGTTCCGTACCCTTGGAAACAGATCCGTGAGATTTGGATCTGCATGGTCCAGGGCTTTTGGCAGCAGCTTCTTTCAAACCTCCAGGCCTGTGGAGGGATCACTACTTCATTTAAGACAACCATCAGTTCTCCTACTAATGAAGCTGATGCGCTGTGAGCATGCGTCAGAGTCACGGCAGGCTGCAGGTAGGTGGCCAGGCTAAGACTTATTTTGCAGCCTCTGCAGCTTCATCATGCATGTCTGCACAGTTCACAATAATTTTGTTGTCTTTGGGCATATTTCTGAAGGTGAGGCTGCACTGGGACTTCCAGTACTTGTTATTTCCTTCATGTCAATTAATTTCAATACATCAACTTTGGTTTTGGACAATTTGACCTCACCCTCATAAAATCTGTCCAGAGCTGCCCAGGCAGAGTTGTGCCAAAGGGGAAGAAAACAGCAACATATTTTTTTTGAGACTCTATAGATCAAAGAGTTGAAGTCCTGCTGTCTATCTAAACAAATTCTTTAAAACTGTTAATTGCATTCCTGGGAAATAACATGTGTTGGCATGTCTGATTGTTGTAAAGGTGTTCGTAATAAAAGAAACTAGTGCAAACACCTGGAACAAAACTTGACCCTTTCACAGTAATTAAACCACTTCTTTTTTTCTGTGTCTGTCCGGGACGTGTTTTCTTAAAAGTCGTACTCATTTAGATAAGAGCCAAAGTAAATTACTTATTGATGTGCCACATTGCCTCCGCTAAATCTTAATGAATGAGATTACACATGTCGCATGAAGCTGTGCAAACACACTGGTCGATCAATTCTGTCGACATTTCTTTTCTTTCAGCACACACTGGGAAATAGTGAGATTCAAGCAGAAAGGAGCTGAGGTATGTGCACGTGTGAACACAGGGATTACTCAGGTAGTAATTACTGTTGTATAAACCCCCCTTTTGAGCTGTAATTTCAGACCTGTTTCTACACACACGATGAAACTCTCCATATATTTTACAGCTTTGAAATGATGTGGCTGTAGGACACTTTATTCTGAGTGTGGGACGGGGGATGCCGCTATGACCTGAAATTGTGCCTGTCTGGGATGAAATTACAGGAATGTTTATGTATTTTTCTATTTGAAGCTGATGAACCAACTGAGGAGTCACAAAAACTTGAATTTGTTTTTATGTACAGAGAGGTGTAATTAACATTTACCACCCTGGCAGTAGGGTCATTCGTATGCTTTTTTTAAAGTCACTGCAAAATGGAGTGTTGTGGTGATGATTGACTAAATCACACCTTTAAGGTCAGTGAAGGAAAAATGAATATTATTAATTCAACCCCCTCCCCTCCTCATACGTCACCTCTCTCTCTCCTTCTCACACTTTCTCAGTTTGTCCGTGTACATCCCAGCGTCCTTTCCTCTCCCATTGTGTTATGAGTGTGCTCTCGAGTTCATTAATGAGATGTCCAGGGGAGGAGGCAGCTGGTGAAAGTCTAATATCCTTTCTGACCTTTTCCCAGTAAAGGGACCGGGGAGAGGAGATGAGTTTACTTTATGACGGGAAAAGGAGAGCAGGCACCAAGGGGAAAAAAGATTGTTCCAGTCTTTAGAGACTTTGTCACAAAAATATATTACAAGGGGGGGGGGGAGAAAAAGAAGGATGGATGACCAGTGCAGGGAGCACTTCAAGACACAAAATACCAAGAGGATTTTGTTTATTGTGGGCTGGAAGTTAAAAGCAAAGCTTGTCCTCCTTTATTTCACAATAGGGGACAGAGAATGAACCGAGAGGATATTCATTCATCTGGATTAAATCTTCAGATGAAATGAATGGAATAACAAATGTACAACTTTTTAAGCATTATATTTCAAGTTGTTATAGATATTCCATCCAAATAACAAGTGATTGCATTGGGAAATCATGACATCAAGACGTATAGCTATGCATTGACACACAGTGAGCCTCATCGATAATTAATTCATTTAGGCTCCAGTGTCATATATGATTTACATATGTGGTTGAGGGAGTATAGTTTGGAACTGATTTGGACAAACCGATTTAATGTCAGTCATATATCCACAGTCATATGTTTGGAAAGCATATAAAAATATTGCACATGTAATGTTTGGAAGAGAACTGTATATGTTACAGGTTTAATTTATTAAGATTTGAAAACAACCGCATAGAAAGTTTTAGCTGTGAGTGGTCAATTGCCTCAAAACTAACAGAGCTCCTCATAATAATCAAAAAAGAATCATTTGATCAAAAACAAAAATAATAACAATGACAATAAAGAATGCAGAGTATAAAGGAATTCATATAATTTAGAATTAAAAGCAAGAGTTCAGAACATAGTGGCAAATGCTCATGGGCACTATGTCCTCCGTGTGTCTCCGGATTTGAACAGAAAACATTCAATGTCGGGTATCCTCCTGATTTATAATAACAGAGAAACACACTTTGCTTTCTCAGTTTCTCCCTCTCTCTCCATTAATCCTCCTCAAATGCACCATGTGGCTTTCATTTTCTCAGTGACATCATACCCCCTCACAGAAGACGACTCAAATCCACAAGGCCGTACACCGACAATGGCATAACACCCCAACTCTCTCCAGCCCCTGACCCCACCCCCAAGTGCTCCCCGGTCTGAACGGGGAGGGAGAGCAACGTCCTTTTTAACTCACTCTAATAATTCTTTCTTTCGGCTCCAACACAAATTCCATTACTCAACAAGTAAACGTGAAGGCTTATTCCTCTGGAAATACGAGCCTGCCTGTGTAGCACGGGTTTCATTTCTAATGTAAAATGCATGCTTGGAACTGGCAGCAGTTCAAATGATGGGAGCAAGTTTAATATGTGTTTTTCAGTTTCCTGAGGATTGTTTTTATGATCTCCAAGGTGCATTCATCTCCATTTCTTTCACTAAACATGAACACCCCCCCTGCTGCAAAGAGACCTGTAATCAACAGTAGGTTGCTACTTTACACGCACAAACACACACACGCAAACACACACACACACACACACCATAAACTCATACTGTTCTCCCTGGGATAAGAATATTAGTGTTTCCATACGTGCATAAAGAAGTGATCACAAAGTTTATTTTGATTTCACTTCACACAAATCTTCTCAGACATCTCATCACAACTCAGACAGACGATGAAAAGTCTGTCTATAGGGAGTCCTTTTCCTCAGAGTTTCCATTTGAAGTGGGATCACGGTAGGGCAGTGTGTCTCCCTGGCTCAGTTTGCTGGTGGAGAAACCCCCCTGCAGCTGGGGGCTAAGCATCCCTAGCTGGCTGCAGATGAGGAGGGGGGGGGGGGATTTGGAGAGGAGAAAGGGAAATACGGAAATCCCCTCTTCCCCCTCTTCAGTCTGAGCAGTGGTTGCAACTGTCTGGTTCTGGTAATGACAGAGATGAAGCTTTTTAAAGAGCATTGAAGCATCTCTCAGAGTGTCGGTGTTACCAGGAGATCCACCAGCTGGGTTTCACTCTAACTCTGTAATCATTCATCAACATGTTCCTTCATTATGAACCTGATTATTGTCCTTTCTTTCTTGTTTCTTTCTCTTGTTTATGGTCAGTGGTGGAATGTAATAAAGTACATTTACTTTGTGACTGTACTTAAATATATTTTCAATGTATTTGTACCTGACTTCAGTAGATTTATGGGTTTTAGGTATTTGTATGCTTTACTCCTCTACATATATCAACAGAAAACACAGTGAACACAGCTGTGTTTGTGTGTAGCAGAGCATGTGTGCGTGTGTACATACAATACACTACAGTGAATCAGCTGCCTCTCATCATTATTACAGAGACAAGTGAAAAGCTTGAACACTGTTGACTCTGTCACTCTAAGAAGATGTCTGAGTCTGTCATCTTAATAAGTGGAGGCAGATTTGACTGATTGTTCGGGAGCAACTCAAAGACATTTGGGAGAAGGAATGTTTCAGAGGACTGTTCTTGATCTAATGTCAGCTCAACTCAGAGGGAACTGTGGGGGGTACAGAGACAGTGTGTGTGTGTGTGTGTGTGTGTGAGAGAGAGAGAGAGAGTGCGTTGAGTGTGTGGATTAGATAATTGCAGGAAGTATGTCTGAGCCCTGGCAGATCACCACTGCCACTTCCCCTCTCTGCCACCCAAAACCACCCCACGAGCCAACACTTCTCAAACAAACAGTCGCTTGTCTCCGGCATATAAATCTTAATGGCAGCAAAATGGCCACATGTCCCCCACCCCTCTGTGGATACCTAATCCCATTTTAAACAAATAAAACTTTCGGCAGAGGGCATGCTGTTGCTATGAGTAATCTCGGAAAATGGGATGAACTCTTTCACTTTTGGAGCTCGAGTATCACTAAGAATACACAGAATCTAGAAAAAACAAAGCGCATGATTACCCCCTGCAACCCGCAGCATAAAGAGACACCTCAACGTTGTCCGAGGTTAGGATGACATAGTATTTTTTTGTGAGCCCCCGGACTTCTCTGTTTTAATTTCTCTTTCAAAATGTTTCAAGAACTTTTTGCTGAAGCACACCAGAGCCCCCTTTGTTATTTTACAAGGACACCAGCTCTGACCGAGTCATGTGTTAATCAAAGACTTTTCAGTCTGCGCGGCCCAGAGGAAGTTCACACTGCTGGGGTTGCTGCACTTAAATCCTTCACCCTCAACCCTGCTCTCCAGAAGCTCGCAGAGTGCAGGTACAGATAAGCAGCCTGTCAGGTTCAATCAGGCGGGTAAAACTTGGTGTGTTTGCACGTGTGTGTGCGTGCAAGCGAGCATATCATCTGCGATTCTACGGTGGATTTGAACGAGATGTTTTCAAAGCTGGGTGATTGCATTGATGAGTTTGAGTTTATATTAAAAATGGCAGCTCTGTCACAGTCCACTGCTTTCTTTTTAAAGTAAAATCACCTAAAGCGAGACTGACAGGGTGCGGCTGCTGTCAAACTAATGGCTGATAAAGAGAGTTAAAAGTGGTTCCTCGTATCCTTCTACCTCTATCTGCTTAAACCTTCATGGTTGTCTGTGTCTTGCCAGTTAAGCTGGGTCAGGGTTAGCAGTCAAGCAGCTGGGATTGCAAGCTTTTGTACCGTCCAAACTTTTAGTGATGAGGAAAAAAGGATGCATTCTGGGTCTATGATGAAGCCAATGACGCAGAGAAGCAACTCTGAAGTGGTGAGAAGAGGTAAAGGTGCCACATGAGGTGAGACGGAAAGATAACCTGTCGTTCCTCTCCGTTCTCTTGGGAAAGATTCTGAATCAAAAACATGTTGCAATGTGCCTTTGGCAATGGAAGCAATCAGGAAGCAGACACAGGTTACTGTCAGGAGCAGTCGGATATCCCTTGAGGGAAGGGTTTGGTACGGTTTGATCTTTGCTGGTCGGTACAGGCAAAAGGCAAACTGAGAATCAGCATGTGAAATGAAAACCAGATATATCAAAGTTAAGCACTGACCATGCAGGGGGCCTTCGTTTTGGACCCTTTTCTGTTCTTGTTATATTTAATTTGTAAAAATATGAAAATCTATCTTTCTGTCATTTTTCAGTGATAATAGTAATAATACTAATGTTTCTTTATTGCAACAAAATAGAAGTTGTATATCTTATCAGAAAGCAGAAAATATATGGAATTTGTTAGATCAACTGTCTAAATTATCTATCCATCTTTCTATCTCTCTATCTATCCATCCATCCATCCATCTATACTCAAAAAAAAACCCGAAGCCTTTGTGTTGCTTTATATTTCATTTAATATCTGTGTGTGTGTCATCGTCTGTGCAGAGCTCTGGCAGCTGAACAGGACCTGGGTGTTCCAGCCACATGGAGCGTCTCTTCAGCCCCACACTATGATGCTGGACGAGGGCCACGAGAGGCTGTATGTTGGGGCCAAGAATACTCTGTTCTCCCTCAGTCTGGACCAGGTTAACACACACCACAGAGAGGTAGGCTGTGACGTGCATGTGTGTGTTTATGGGCCTGTGTCCTGTAAAAAGCAGAACTTTGAGTTTTTGAATCTAGTGGCGTAAGAACCCTGCAAGAGTATTTGAGCTATGCAGTCATTGCCCTCATATTCTCCTCAAAACTTTGAGAGAAACTTCTAACTATGCATGCACAAAATACTTCTTTATTTAGACTGAGACACTATAGTGAACATGGGTTCATCTGTATCCTCTTTTCAGATCCAGTGGGCCAGCACAGACTCTCAGATAGAGGAGTGTTTGATGAAGGGGAGAGAAAAGGTAAGAGACATCCACAAATATTTGATTTCAATAGAGCATTGTGAGTATGCAGGGTAAAGCAAAAATTCCCAAATGATAAAATACATTGAGTTAGCATTTGTATAAACTGTATAATTAATTTGTCATATATACACTTTAGATTGTAAAGATAGAGACTGTGAGTATGGATTGATTTACATATCTGACTGTACACATTAACTTTTCTTTAACCTGACATATTGATGTTATTAATGGTGCAATAACAGCCCCATGTCTGTCCCTGTGTAGCCTCAAACCCTATCTCACAACCCTTTACTCTCCCAACTTTACCCTCCCCCTGTGTTATCTTTGCATCTCCTCCAAAAGCTTGAGTGTGCAAACTACATCAAGGTCCTGCAGCGGTACAACCACACCCATCTGCTGGTCTGTGGAACAGGAGCGTTTAATCCCGTCTGCACCCTGGTCAAGCTGGGACACTCAGGACAGGTAAGTCCCAAGGGCTGAAATAAAGTTTTACAGGTCAAACAGCAATGTGGTATGACTTATCAGGCAAATGATTTATCTTGTACAAATATTAAAATGCAAAAAAAGTACAGTCAGACAAATTTCACATCATGCTCTACCACTCTTTCTCTCTGTAGCGAGAAGCTTCTTCAACCTCCCTTGTTTTGGTCAGAAAGAAACTGGACACCTTTGACTCCATGTTAAACACTTGGCAGACGCTAGTTGAATTTTATACCTCACCAAAAAAGACTGAAGTGAAGACGAGATAATGACAGAAATGAAAAGGAGAACACTATTTGCTTTCCTCAGATGGGGAGAATGGTTTGATACAATTTTATCGATTTCATCAAAGAAAAAATTACTTGACTGTTGAACAGGTAAAAAGGGAGAACAGGCCAGGTGCCACTTTCTGTGCAGGGAGGAGTTTGAAGGCAGTGAAGACTAATGGTCTTCATACTCTGGGGTCAAATCAAATGTTTGTGTCGGCTGGCTGTGGGTGTATAGGAATGTGCGCATATACTTATGTGCACACAAAGTTGCCTCCATACAGCAGTTTTTTATGCAGTTTGACACAAATGCCCAATGTCAACACTGAACAGTTGCTGTGTCTGGGGCAGGGGTCAGCAACCTCTACTATCTCAAGTGCAATTTATGGCCTGTAGTGCAGGTGACAAAGACTATTAGTCTAAATTAGCTTGTCAACATAACTCTTGTTTTTTCTCTGCTGTTCCTTGATGGTCAACAACAAATGACAATGTGCATATTTAGTATGGCAAAGGTTTTTCATGCCAGGTGTTGTTCCAGATGCAACTCTTGAGCTCTACCTGCTGAGCCACAGCACTAAATACATACATGAGCCTAAATGAGCGTTCATAACTTACGGCAAGTAAACTATTCATTATCACTTGGTATTTCCATTACAATGACCCATAGCAGTATAGTTTGCTTATTATTGTTAACATTGCATGTCTCATTTTGGGCAGTCGATTATACTGGAGTTGAGTTTCTGGACATCTTTATGGGACATATTATTAATTTTCTCCACTATTTCAGTTTTTGGGGGCGGGTGGCACGGTGGAGCAGTGGGTAGCACTGTCCCCTGATGTGTCACGGCTGGAGTCATTCTGTGTGGAGTTTGCATGTTCTCACTGTGTCTGAGTGGGATTTCTTTGGGTACTTCCTCCGACAGTCCAAACTCATGCAGGTTAATTGGTGACTCACTCCCTGTAGGTGTGAGTGTGAGCGTGAATGGTTGTTTGTTTCGATATTTCAGCTCTACACTGGACTGCTGTGAATGTACCCGCCTTTCACCCTGTGTCAGCTGGGATCGGTTCCAGCCCCCGTGACTTTAAAAGGATGAACAAAATACACATTTATTCATTTTTATATTTTTTGACAAATCTAGGAAGTTAGCTGGGGCTAAAGAGTGGCCACACGGAGCTGCAGACCCCTGGTCCGGTCTGGGGCGTATCGTTCTTAGTAAGAGCAGGGGAGGGGGTTTCCACTCCACATTCCATCACTTGTCCAGTAGAGCAACCAGGCCAGTCACACCTTCCAAACAAGAACCACACTCAGCCATCACTCACATCATTGGAATGCTCATGGAGTGACAGAAGCTGGATCAATACTGTCGCTGTTTGCATTATGTCTAAGCAACCTAATCTCTCTATAAGATTTCCTCATGGAATTTTCATATTGAGAAGATTACATCAAACCTGTAATTACCATTAAACCTGAGCATAACAATATTTACACAGTGATATAATATTAATGTCATAACCCAGCCACCAATGACTAACAGATCAAATATTTATGCACCAATGGCCGAGACATTTTAGTTAAAGTAAGAATAGTACAGCAGTTCATTAAATGTCGAGAAACAAACCAACACAAACCCTAATATATATTTATTAATAAAAAATAAAATAATAACAAAGGCGCCAAGGATAAAAATCATTGGAGTATAAAAATAAAAGCAGCTTTATATTTGAAACATTTTCAGGTATTTGAAGTAGGGTAGTGACTGAGCATGTCTTATCACCGTGGGCAGTAGCAACATTTTGAGTTTTGCCTCATGATCTAAGGGAACACATCTGAGCAATTCTGGGATATAAGGAGGGGCTAATGCAGACAGAGCCTTCACTCTGAAAGTCCATTCGAAAGGACAGGCCCATGAAGGGGGTCTCTTTTTTTGGCACCAGTTTGGCATCCAGCTTTTTTATGAGTTGCTGTGAAAAGAGACTACATATATATATATATATATATATATATATATGTGTGTGTGTATATATATATACACACATATATATATATATATAAATATATATATATATATACAGGAAGTTTTAGTAGCCAAGACGTGATGTGTGACTAATGTGTGCTTAACCTTCTCCAGATCAGTGAATGACAGGAACTATTTGAGTATGGTGATACACTGGAAATTCAGTTTACAATAATAAATGATTTGGTCTATTTTATCTACAGTATTTTTCATTTGGTTTTGATAGAACACATTTTATGATGGATGAATTCAACCCAGAAACTGACTTCTGCTGCAGTCATACACCGGGCAGCAGCAGCAGTTACAGCACAGCATGGGTCCATGGGTTCTCATAAATCAATCACACAACATCCTCTCTGGTCCTCTGACAGTTCAAAACACTGTGGTGGCCCACAACATGAGCTGAGGTTCTACAGTGTGTATGTGTGTGTATGTGTGTATGTGTGTGTGTGTGTGTGTGTGTGTGTGTGTGTGTGTGTGTGTGTGTGTGTGTGTGTGTNGTGTGTGTGTGTGTGTGTGTGTGTGTGTGTGTGTGTGTGTGTGCCAGCGAGATCAGAAGACGTAGTGATGTGAGATGTGACAGCAGAGCTGTTAAAACACACTCAGACTCATTCTGTAATCCATCTCTCCTCCTCTCATTTATCTTCTGTCCTCCCTCTCCTCTATCACTTTTCTGATCCTCTTTCCATTCTCCTTCCCATGAATCACATCCTGCAAATTCGTTTGGATATTGTGAAAAGCCATTTAGATCCTGTTCAGGCATATTTGTATGCAAAAACCCTGTGCGTGTCTGTGTTGTTCTCAGGAGGGGCTGTTTGCTCTTGAAGAAGACAGTGTTACGAGTGGCAGAGGACGCTGTCCGTACGACCCCAAAAGTCCCTGCACGTCCACACTCTCCAGTAAGAGCTAGAAGCACAGCCCTGAGACCGAAATACATGTTTTCATTTCTTTAAATACAATCGATTACCAACAAAGAGGTTTGCAGACTTTGTTGACCTGTAACGAGTCAACACTGCCCTCTTGTGGTCATCTCTCATACCAGTATAATTAAAAATAAAGTAGGTTGTAGTTTTGATAGTTTGTCTATTCTTGATTGTGTCTGTGTGTGCATCAGGAGGGGAGCTGTATATTGGCCTGTACACCGACTACTGGGAGAACGATGGAGCCTTGTGTCGACTGAACAACCAGACCTACACACGCACTGAGAGAGACGACAGGCAGCAGCTCAGCGGTCAGTGTTCATTACAGGACAAATGATCACATCTCCCTTTAAATGCAAGGGAGTGCAAACAGATACAGTAGATCTGGTAACCAAAGTAAATATGTAGAAAGAAACAGCATTAAGTTAGTGGTTCATTCAAAAGGAGTAGTTAAATCATAGTTTGATTTAAAATGAGTTGGTTATTATATGTTAGAGTGTTAAATTGTGATGCTGGCCAAGATTAAAATATTTAACATTGTCTTGTAGCTGTTTTGTTCACATTGTTCAAATCCCTGCTATGAAACAAGTACAGTGACAATACATTCAAGCTGTTTGCACCGGTGCCTTCTCACTACCAAAACCTGACTGGTTTTAACTTTATGTTTCACCTCAGGCCTTTTGTTTGAATTCTTCCTGCTACAGAACCTAAATTTGTGGGCTCAGCAGTTATTCCTGACAACGACGACAGCAACGATGATAAAGTTTACTTTTTCTTCACCGAGCGAGAGATGGATGCCGAAGGACTCAACAAGGTGGTTTACACCCGAGTGGGGCGAGTCTGTGCGGTGAGAGCAGATGCTGTAGAAAACATCTCAGTGTATAATGCAGCTGAGGCACTGACAGAACAATCATAATCTAGTTCTACCTTCATCTCTCAGAACGACGTGGGAGGACAGAGGATGCTGGTGAATAGATGGAGCTCCTTCCTGAAAACACGACTTATCTGCTCTGTGGCTGGACCGAATGGCATTGACACACACTTTGATGATCTCGGTAAGGCTACAGGGACAGTTTTTGTATTTAGTGAAATTTAATTTGTGATGCATATCATATGGCATTAAGGCTTTTTGTTGAATTGTGAGTCTTACCTGCAGAAGTGGCAGTTAAAGAAAAACATTATTCATTTTAAAAAGTTGTTTCCTCAAGTAGAACAGCCACTAAGATTTGAGTGACAAAATGGTGAAAACATTGTAATGTGTGTTATAACATGAGGCTAAATTCAGCATGTTGTGTTTCAGAGGATGTATTTGTTCTCAAGAACAAGGACGGAAAAAACCCAGAAATCTTTGGCCTCTTCAGCACAACAAGGTGAACTGCAGATGATGTCAGTGTTTTTCATTTTACAGGCACAACTTTGTCATCCATCAAATCCCAAATAAAACCTTATCTTGCAGTGCGGTGTTTAAAGGCTACGCTGTGTGCATCTATAACATGGACGACATCAGAGCAGCCTTCAATGGTCCCTTCGCCTACAGAGAGAGACCTGAGCATCGCTGGACACCTTACGAGGACAAAGTCCCCTACCCTCGACCTGGATCTGTGAGTTTTAAAGTTGAAATGTTTATGGGACTTCATTCCCTGAGTGTGTGTCCATAATGGATGTCATTTCAGAGGGACAGTGCTGAGACCTGGGCAATAAAGCAATATAATTTTTAACCTTCACGCAGGAGCAAAAATCAGTCTTTCAACTTAAAAGAAATGATAATGTGAAATTTATCTTGGTAATTATCGATCTTGATTTTTTTAAATCTTGATATAGCATGATCAAGAGAGAGCATGTAGAGCAGCTCTGGAGAGTGACATCACTGTGACAGGCAGAGACTGTCTGAACCAGACCAAGCATCTTTTTCTACACTCTACGTAAGGCTGACACATTAATGGGCCTCCTGGTCTCTGTCCCTACTCCTCCTTTTCCTCTGTATCTCGTCCACACCCTTTTTTTACCAGTGTGCCAGTAAAGTCAATGGTGGTGGCTTCTCCAGCTCAAAGGAGTTTCCTGATGAGGTTTTGCGGTTTGTGCGTTCTCATCCTGTGATGTATCGTCCAGTCCTGCCCCAGCATCATCAACCTGTGCTGCTACAGACGGAGCCGGGCAGGAGAAAACTGACCCAGATCGCTGTGGACAGAGTCCAGGCCCAGGACGGACACTACCACGTTCTGTACATCGGCACCGGTACGCACACTGGGAAGAGTGCATAATTACAATTTGCAAAATGTGACATTAAAACTTATCTGAAAGTTACACAATGTTGCAAAAAGAAATTTAGAAAAAAAATGATGTTGAAAATAAAGAATACTTTTGTCAAAAGCATCAGTGTGACATTACTGCTCTATTTCCATTAGATGACTCAGTGGTGTTGAAAGTTATCACCATCTACAACAAAGACACAGACACTATGGAGGAGGTGCTGCTGGAGGAGCTGCAAGTTTTCAAGGTAGGCGACTGTATTTTTAGGTACAGACTGTGAAAGGACAAGTCAACTTTGCAGCCAAGCAAGCTCAGAATTGTATTGCATGCATATCACATTCATTGCTGCTGGTTCTACACATCCTGAATGACTCTTCTGAAGAATACTGATTGCTGATTTGCTTCCTTTCAAGCATCAGAGGGCAATTGTGCAGCCAGGCTTGCTGAGAGATCTTCAGTGTGATTTGAACATATCAATGCTGCATAGATCTGTCACTTTTGAAAATTAGTCTGCAAGCAGTGGCTGCATTTATCTCCATTTTAATTAAGAACTGGTTTGGCATGAATAGAAGCATGAGAGAAATCTTGAAAAGACAAAAAACTGTATTTTTATAGCGTTTAAAAAACCACTGATTAAACTTGATAAGATATATTTCTGTTTTGCAGGTGTCGGCACCAATACGAGAAATCATAATATCATCTAAAAGGGTAAGAGGAGCGTCTGACTCTCCACTGTTATTCATTCCTGCAGTTCTGTTGTTCAGCCACAAGATGATAACATTGCAACATATTGCATTATTTTAATCTATAATTAATTCAGATGTACTGTAGCCTACATGTGACTGTAACATATATACATTTCTACCACTTTTTATTCAACAACTTTGGATCTACAGCAACAGCTCTACGTGGGGTCGGAGGTTGGTGTGGCCCAGGTCAGACTGCATCAGTGTGACCTCTATGGCTCTGAGTGTGCTGATTGTTGTCTGGCCAGAGACCCCTACTGTGCCTGGGACGGTCTCACGTGTTCCCGGTTGTACCCTGCCGGAGTCCACACCAAGAGGTGACAGCACAAACACTTTCAGACAGAACCAGTTTTTGTTTTTCCTGTAGGTGTTTGTGTGTGTGTGTGTGTGTGTGTGTGTGTGGCGGTGCATTTCCGTCACATCATCTCGCCTCGACAAATGTCACGGTGCTCTGAGGCTGCTTAATCAAGTCATTATCACAGGCCCTGGTAGACATGGCTGCCAAGGGCCGTGTATCAGTATGCACTTGATCACTCTCCCCTCCTGTATTTATCCTCTTTCTCTCTATTTACTCTCTTCCTTCACTCTTCCTTTCAGCCATCTCTTTCATCACGTATTCACTCTCCCTTTGCCTCCCTCTCTCCCATCTCAGCAGACGATTCAGGCGACAGGATGTTCGCCATGGAAACGCCGTCCAGCTGTGCAATGGGCTGCAAATTGATGGTGAGGGTATAAAAGGACTGTGTGGTTTGTGTGGTTGCATGTGCATGTGCACGCTTGTGTGTATTTACTAGTATCACAAAATTGTCAGAGGAATACTGTATAAACGCAACAAAATGATGCTGTTCTCCAGAGGCACTTGACTTAATAGCCAGTGAAGATTGTTACAGGTGAGAGAGGTTAGCATGCCTCGACTGTGGCAGTACAACAATGCACTGTGTGCGTTTAATGAAAGGTCATGGTAGTTCCTACCTTTTATAATGTGCGTGTGTGTGTGTAGGAGAAGGATCTGAGGAGAGGCTGGTGTATGGTGTCGAGAGGAACAGCACTTTACTGGAGTGTGTCCCTCGATCACTTCAGGCCAAAGTACTCTGGTTCTTCCAGAAGGGAGAAGAGAGACGTGAGGTGAGTTTGATGCAACAATGCATGCAACACAAATGTAAAGATACTAAATATATTTACATTACTCAATAAACGGATATGTTAGATACAATACGTCAGTAAAAGATTTAGATATTAAGATATATTAAGATATTAATACAAAATAAACTGCTTGTTGATGTTCAGCCATGCATATGGTTTTAGGGTTTCACTTCACCACCTCAGTGTAATTGAACTGAAGGAAATTTCATTTGTGTCACTCGAAATAAGATCGATGCACAAATTAATTAGTGAATTAATGTAAATACTGACATTTGTGTGACTAATCTTGGGAAATTGTTTCTGGAAAGAGATATCGTTCCATCCATCCATCCACACAGACACAGGGAACATCCAAAATCCACGTAGGAAAAGCCTGCCAAACTTCAAGCAGAGAACATGGAAATCTTAAATGTACCATGAACAAAATGCAATTTTCTTCCAATATATTAGTCTCTATCTAGACCTAATACATTTGAATCCATCAGAGGAGATTATCTTTAATATCTCGATTAAAACACGTTGTACTATAACACAAAGAATCCTGAAATGGCCAGGGCTCCTATCGAGAAACCATGTCCCCTGATTTATCCTAAACTAGTTCTGCAGGTTTTTTAATTAAAATTCCTTCCTGTTAGAAAAGTAAATGCAGCAGCTGCCTAAATCACTAGACTTGAATAATAGCTCCATCAATGAATAGAGAAAAAACATACTTTAATTTCTCCTCTACGTAGGTTCGAGGTGATGAGCGGGTTATCGAGATCTCCCAGGGGCTACTGTTCTTACACGTGAAGAGCTCAGATGCTGGTGTGTACATTTGCCAGACTGTGGAGCACGGATACGTGAACACATTATTACGTGTCACTCTGCACGTGCTCAGAGGGGAGAAGGTCGAGTCGACGATCGACAGGGTGAGCGGCGAGAAGGAGGTGAAAGCTGCAGCTCGGTGCCACTCCTCCCCTGACCCCCCACCGAACCCCAGCATCAGCCCCAGGGAGCTGCTTCCGGCCTCGGCCCCAGGCCACATCTCCAGGCAGTGGTACAAGGAGTTTCTCCAGCTGATTGGCTACGGGGATGCCCAGAGAGTCGCAGAGTACTGTGAGAAAGTGTGGTGCACGGATAAAAAACGTAAAAAGAACAAAAAGAAGTATGCTCCTCCAGGTGGAGAGAAGAGAAGGAAAGAGAGGGGGGAGGAGAACTCCAACAGAGCGCCCAGGCACACCATGGACACCTGAGGAGAACAGAGACTGACTGCGTGTACACACACAGACACACACACACACACACACACACACACACACACACACACACACACACTCAGTCCAAAGGTTAGACAGTGTCACAGTGTTTACACCATGTAAAATATGTTCACTTTGCTTCGACAAAAGCAGAAAGAAAAAACAACTATACCACATTGTCAAGGTATTGTAGCCTCATTTATCTTTCAGTACTTGAGTGGGTTGTTTCTGTTTTGTGGGAACTGAACCTCCGAACATCAGTGTCGGAGCAGAACAGAGGAGGAGATGGACGAATGTTAAAGCTGCATCTGATCTAGAGAGACAGAACATAATGCCTCAGTTCCTGTGGACTGACCCAACCCTGACCCAGCTGTGGAAATCAACCACACAGAGATCGCCCCGTCAAACCTCTGCTCCACTTCTCAGTCAACTGCTACATATGAAAAAATTCTTACTGTATCTATTAAGAGAGAAAAAATAATGGCCTTTAATCTTTTTTTTATTTTGGTATAAGTTATTTTCTTTGTTTTTATTGAATTCTGTAACTGTTTAAGTGTCATAAACTGGAAAATGTAGTGTAATTTTTTGTACAGTGAAAAATGCTTTGAGCTTTTACTGCAATGTGTGTGGTGTGTGTAAACTATGCACACAGAAAGATGTTGCAATGCCACTGTTATGGACAGGCATGTTTTAAGTATAATTATGCCTTTGATGATAAATAATAACTATTTAAGCACTTGTAAAACCTGTTAAAGTCGATGAAATGTGGATATTATTATTATTATTATTGTTTTTTGTCTATTTGACATCTACAATTGTGATCAAATGTACCAAACACTTCTTTGCGTATTGTATATTGTATTTATCTAAAATTCAGGGTGTTTTTTTCCTGCACATCTGGTGACTAATAACTGTGTTCAGAAAGTCTTCTCTCCACACTGGCTCTTCCTTCTTCCATCTATCACCCCTTGCTCTCCCTTCGTTCCCACGCCCCTTTTGTTTGTCTGGACCAGTGATGCAGATGGGATTCATAATGACCACCATGCACAGCACATTTCCCTCAGAGGAAGAAGGAGAAGTAAATGTCAGGGTGACCATCCAAGCATGTCATCAGCTAAACTGATGAGTCAGCCTCATGAACGATCAGTTAACGTCGAGAGATGGAGATGACGCCGCAGTTGTGGTTTATAATAATAATAATCTGGAGGATCAAGTCTTGTAATGTTTTTGTGCCTTATTTATCTCTTAATTGTGTCACTTTATATTACACCCTCTTGACGTTACTGTATTTTTATATGGTAAAAAAAGAACTGCTTGGTTTTTGACCTTATATCGGCCCTCATCAATCTCCTTGAATGTTCTGAGTCAAAAGGTCTGAAGTGACTTGTGTCTGACATGGCATTAAAAAGGATGGACCATCTTCTCCTGGTGTCACCTCTGTGGTTTAATAATATAGTACACCATACCTACACCTACACACACACACACACACACACACAGAGACTGAGCCAATAAAGTGGAGAAGTGTAAAAAAGAGAGAGACCATTATAAGTTATGATCTGCCCCTATACAGGACTTCTTCATTCCCCCCCAAAAAATAAATTATTATCTCTGTTTTATTTGAATATTTCTTGCCTCGTGTGTCTGGTTGTTTTACTTTACTTGTTTTGCTTTGCTGTGATTTCCGGACCCCTCCTAATTTCTAATTTGTCCAATTATCTCTGTTTCCTCTGTTAGTTTGTGTTAAACCTTGTGCTTTTGATCATCGTCTTTCTCGTTCCAACAGTTTTTCCTTTTTTTACTACTAAGAATTTTAACATTCTGTTTGCCTGTCAGTCTGCCTCAGAGACTCAGTAAGCCTGTTTATTAAAATCAAATATTCTCCACTGAACCTGTCTTTCTTTGTCATTTCTGCATTGTGGATCCTGAGAACCCAACCTCACAACAATATGTAGTAGTCACTTAAAAATGAAAAGTGAGATTTGTTTCTATCCATCTTTTTTTCACTCTAGGTGAGAACCATACTCAAGATTTTATGAAATTGTCGAACATTTATAGCTAATTATCATTCCAATACCTTCCTAGAGATTTGCAGTCGAGTGTGTACAGAGTGAATGTGTGTGCAACACTAGTATTGAGCAAGTTGCCTTTATATGTAAATCAAAATTTCTTTATTCATGTTTCACATTAGTCATGTTCTTATCAAAATGTCAGTGCCCAACTGTGTGCACCAAAAAATTCTTCTGGATTGTAAAATATAATATAGCAGAGAACAATGCTGCTCAGAAGCTTCCCCTTGAAAATGCATGACAAGGTCAATGGCAAGATTCTTACAAGATTAACGATTGAAGGATTTAAATCCGTCAAAATTAGACAATGATCCTAATTGTTGTCAAATAATGTTTATGATGTATTCAAGTAACTAAATATGCAGTGAGTTGTTGAAAATGTGTTATTGTTTCATCTATACATTTTTTGATAATGATTGATAATGTGGGACAGCAGGGTTTGGGTTGTCTGGGACAGTCATTAAAGTTCTCCAAATGGGGCAAATATGCTTTTAGGGACTTCCGGAAGTAAAGAGAAGATAAATTAAAGAGATATAGCATATTTTACCAGACAGGAGTTAATGGTAAATACAGTCTGAGCCCGGATTACAAAGTGATGTGTCACAGATTACCAAAACAAGATTACAGAAAGGTATAATATGTTGATCTAATGTGTAAAACAGACATCGGAGTAAGTCAGAGAAATCAAAATTCACCCAGAATATATTATTTTAAGAAACAGCTTCCATTTGATTGCCAACCTGAGGAATTGACAAATACATGGAGGAACACATGGTCTATCAGCATAAAGATTACATTATGCTATGGTAAAAGCCATTTTTCCAGTGTTTGTATAAATATTAAATGAGGGGTTACTGAGAGACAGAATAAAAACCTGTGAAGATTTTTTTTTCTCCCAGTGAGCTGCTGACAGGGACGCCACACTCATTCACATTCTGTCGAGGTCTACCTGAGTCAGTGGGGTGCTGAAGGCATTTGAGAATGGGATTCACGCTGCTGATTTATTCCACATGGCTACCATAGCAACAGGCTCTGAACCAGTTCAGCTTCGTCTTCATCAAAGCACCCTCTCTCTCCCTCTCTCTCCCCGTCATGTTTCAGCACTGTCACCCTGGTCCCTGGGACTCTCCAGCCCTCGGTCCCTGTGGACACTCATATATCTCACTCTAATGTATGCTAACACACTGTCCTCTTAAGGAGTTTTCTTCTGGCACTGAAGTCTGGCATTTCCCTGCTGGATTGAGTTTCTGACCCCACCGATAGATTCCATCTGAGCAGCTTTGGGAACAGACGCAGAAACAGAGCTTGATCCTGAGGCTGCACTCGTTTATTCAAAAGATCTCACACCCATTCAAGAGGCCAATTTGTAATGAAATGCTTCGAATCTATTGATCTACAAAGGGATCAAAAGGTCAAAGGGCACGACAGTAAATGCTGCTCTACACGCTTCTGTAATTGTAAGAACATGACAGTGCTTATTCTTTCCCTCCTTTTGCACCAATTCCTTTTTCTCTGTCGCCTTTGTTGTCCCCATTCAGCGGCATTTCCATCAGGACCCAGTGCACCAGAACGCTTTATTACAACAAGTGAAAATGTCAGAGAGGGATGGAGAGACGCAGAGGGAAATTAGTCTTAAAGGACAAACAGTACACAAGCCTCTACAGAGACTCACACTCCACCATGTTAGTGTGCACAGTGTGTATGTCTATACATGTTTTTATAATGTTTGATTGTGTTTGCATTAATGGCTAAGTCTATGTAAAGAGGGATGAACGCCCATTAGGTATGAACAGATTTCTCCCCCTCTCTCTTTCTGTCACTGTTTCGTTCTTTGATTTAGTGCAATCAATGAAATGCAAAGCTCACCTCATACTAGCCCCCGTGGCAAAATGTCTCCCGCTTTCATACTGTTAGTTTCTTATTCACCGTATAAACACTTTCTTTTTTATTCCATCATCCTGACCTGTAAACTAGAGATTAAAGCCTCTCAGAAGTGAATTATTATGTATTCTGGAATAAGCTCCTCAGCCTTGATTTAGGTCCTCATTACAGAGCTCTTGTTTGCACCGCCACATCTTTGACATTTTCAATATTCTGTTAGATTTGCTAAATCTATTATTTTGCTTCATTTAGTATTTGTGGTCAGATAGAGAACATCTTTGTTTTTATCTTTAGATTTTTTTTAAATAAAACAGGTGGGACATGTGAAGGTTAAACATCAAATCCGATCCTCTCCTCACTGATAACTGCACCGATAAGCATAGAGGATGCACTATCAGTACGGACACAGGCACTAAACCTGCCCTGCATGCAGGTTAGGACAAAAGGGGACTGCAGTTTGGAAGTAAACAGTATATTTGTCACCAATAAAGATGATGACTACATACACAGATAGAGATGAAACCCTGAATAAATAAAGGAACCCAGAATAATATAGACGTCAATAAACTGTTCACACAAGCAGCGTGTCAACATGTATTATGTGTTATCTGGCTGACACAGCTGTGGCTGAGGTACAGTATTCACCCTCAGCAGTCAGCACATTAAATAAGCAGCACCAGGAGAGGTTGGACTGAACCCTGCAGAATGTAATTTTGTGCATGTGTCTATTAAGCCATATGTTAGTGTGCAAGATCTTCATTTTTAGGTCGTATGCTTGGTTAACAAAAGCATGTGTGACACAGGCTGAAGCTACTAGAAATAAATCCATTCACTCAATATGATTCCTGAGAGTGTGTCACTCCATGATCCATGGGAGGTGTTTGCGCTGTATAAAAGAAGCAGACTACCCATCATCCCGTGTGGTTCCCCACAGCTTTTACCTTACAAGACACAAGAGGATTAGAGAAGACAGCGAGAAAGACGGGAGGTGTAGATCATCTGGTTTTTCACACCACTGATAGGCAAGGGAGGCAGAGGGAGTCGGTGAGAGGGAGAGAATGTGTGAGGTGATTTGAAAAAGGAGAAAGAACAAAAGAAAGAACAGAGGAACAGGAGGTGTGTGTGTGTGTGTGTGTGTGTGTGTGTGTGTGTTGGGCAGCTTGGAGCTCTCCTCACATTGGGGTTTTGCCTCCTTTGGGACAGATGTTGCTGCTGCATAATCTGGCAAAGTCTCCCAGGAGAAGTGGGACAGACAGGTGCCTGATGCAAGTGATATGTGAGAGCGAACCTTTCAGAAAGGTATACATGTAATGAGGTGTCGTGCCTTTTCACTGTTGAACTGTGTCTAAAAATCGGTGCAACTTTGTATGTCCCTGTGAAACACAAAACTACATCATATCCAGTTAAAGTGATGCACATGTCACGAGCGTGTGAGCATGTGAGTGATGCAGCGACTGCTGTGTCATTAATCTGGGTGTAATCACTACATTTATGTCCCTGCATGTGGGGCCTGCGCTCGCCTCTAATCCATTTCTTTATCCCTGCGTCTTTCTCATTACATCACTCTCTGACCTTTGCACTGCAGTGGCAGCCTCAGCAGCTGGACAGGGCTGTGAAACAACAAACAGCTCGCTCAGTCAAGCAACACATCTGGTGCAGTGCACTGGCTCTGCAAGCCGGGGAAACCAGGAGGAGCAGGAATCATAAAGTGTGGCATTATACACAAATAGCTGTGTCTGGAAACATATGAGATGCTGCGGTTTCACTCGAGGATCAGATTCACTATAAATAGAGAAGGATGAAATATGAATAGATACAGCTCTGCTCTCGTTGTAGTAGCATGGATTCTTTTATACCACTTCTAATGCGGAAGATCCAAGGAGATTTATATAGCTGAGAGAAAAGCATATACCAAATTCAAGGTCTTGTATTTAATGAAGTCAGCAACCAGAATTTCAAGCAACCAGTACACTTGCTTATATTCCACTGGACTGAGGAGGCTGTCGAGCTGAAACTCATCTATTTGTCAGATCAATATTCCCACCCTGATAATTATTCTGTCTCTCTCTGGGTCCGTCTAATAAGCTGCACTGGATCTAATGTTTTTATTTGAATGTGGAAAGTTGAACCTTTATTAAACTGGAATATTTTGATTAAGACAACATGTGTAACCTTCCCGCCACAGCATGAGATAAGAGATGCACATGGCAACCTACTGGAGAATCTGTCAGGGGCTCCAGACTCAAAGCTGCTTTAACAGATGCTGCTCGAGGCTGCGAGACACCAACAGATGTTACAACTGCGAAGACGAAATTTCTTACATGGGCAAGGTGAGGATTTACTGAATATGACTGAGCTAATTTAAAGCATTAAGCTGATTGTTCACCCTCTGTGACATTTTCAGAAACATCCTCCGAAGCATCTTGTAAAACACTAATACTTTGTAAATGACTAAAAATGAGTTGTCTCATAAGTAATACATCCCTCATTAATCCCACATGGAGCCGTTCAATGTCCATCAAATGCTGTTTCATAAAACTGTTTTATAAGAACCTTTATCAAATATTCACATTCCATCCTTTAAAAATAGTTTGTATTCATTAGTTTGTTGGAGATTTGCTCAAATTCATTTCTCTCACTGACCCTTAAAAAAGCAGCTGAATTTAAAGCACTAGTTGGAAAACATGACACAAGTCAGCTATGAAATTAATTCTCCCAGCAGAGTATTAGTTTTACAATGGTAGCAGATCCTGTTATAGTGTGTCTTTGTCCGTGGCATCTTACAAAATTATGGTTCAGCCTGTGAAAGGAAGGTGAACACTTTTCTGTTTTTGTCTCAGTATTTTTACACTAAACTCATTTATTATGGGAACATATTAATGAATTTCAAGTTAAAACATAATCTATGATGGTTGCACACAGGCATGGC